GGGTCGAAAGCCAACCAGGCGAAACCAAACCGGAAAAAAGCAAACGGCGCAACATCACACATCGAAGAGGGCGGCCAGCATGCATGAAAAACAAGATAGCCAGACCATACTCGGCAGGCAGATCCACGGATTCCTATACCTGCTTCGAGATCGATCAATGAGAAACGGTCCAGCGGCGCCCACTCGGTGACGAGAATGGCGTTCTCAAGCGTCGAGACGGTGTCGCGGGAAAGACCGACACGAGTTCCACTGTTGATGACAAACGGGTCCTGCCGAGGGATCTGTATGCCCACGCTCGATTTCCGAGCCGCCTGCGCGGACTGTGGAGACTCAGATCGTTTCGAGACTGGGGGATCTCGCCATGATCTTCTGCATCGTGCTATCCATTGCGCTGCACCCAGCTGTGAAAGTGAGCAAGAAGAATATGATGACGGGCCATCGCGACGTGCAGTGCTAATTAAGGAACGTATATAACGTAGGACTTGCATATCAATTGCATGTACACACTGATGGTGTCGTGCGAACACAGTCACATGGTGATTTAATTAAATATGATTTATATTAAATCAATGCGTAATCCATATTTTTAAAATAATTAATTTAAATATGTTTAGTGATTTGAGCTAATATGTTTTGTATTTAATGTGAGGTAATAAGGGGGCGAGTGACGGTATTATAATGTTTGCAGGTTATCAGTGTTGAGACGATTGGTAAGCTATATCTAATAGTTAGTAATTGAGCTTGAATTACGCAGTAGAACAGACATGAGAACAATAAGTAACATTACTTGTATAAAAGGCAGCTACATCCACACATGCGATGCTATATAAAGCTGAAACTTATGAATGGAGGAACAAGAAACCGTTGCCCAAACTACATGGCCTACGGAAAAATACACTTGCTAATACTAGGGGGTGGGGTGCTAGGGTAGGGTGCATCATAACTATTATATATAATATATATATTATGAAACATACATTTATAGGTTATTTATCAATTATCGCGTGATTGTTGGAATACGGAAATAGAATATGGAATTTTACCTGGCTCTCTATAATGACTGGTGAAAGGGATTCCAAAGATAGGCAACACGAGAAGCAGCCTGCTACAAACACGTTCCCAACCACGTTACCAATCTCTTCTTCAAACGCCTAAAAATATAGTACAATAGCCAGATACAGTTTTATACATGCTATAAGGCATGCAGGTCACTGGTTATAGTGACACGGTTTGACAGTTAGTTTATTGCTTTGTACAAGCTTAGACCCACACAAGACACACGCACATAAACACAGGAAACACAACGATGGATGGCACTGAATTCAAATACGCAGCGCCACCACACAATTATGGCACGCATCAACAACTGCACAGATAAAGCAAGCAGTATCCGTGCGCACAGACACGCACGCGCACTACAAAACATACCGTGCCGACGCTCCACTGCGCGGCGGCGGAGCTGCGGCGCCACGCACAAAACGCAGCACGCACAGCATGCAACATCGCACACGCACACGCACGCGGACGGCACGACGCACACGCACACGCACCACGCAGACCACGCACACCACGCTGCGACGGGGGACCCACGACAGCACATCACACCACGACACACAGCACAAACAACACACACCCCCGCCCACTGCTGGCGCATACGCTGGACGGACTCATGCCAGCGGGAGTGCTGCCTCGGCTCTGCGGAGTGGGAGGTCGGGGGGGGGCGGTCGTGAGGCTTGGACGCGCCCACTCGCCACTACCCGCCCCCTCTGTCTACCGCCCACTGACCGTGCACCACCACCGCCATCTGTCAACCGCCAGCCCCCTCCACCTCCGGCCGCGCCCTGCCATCTCCCGCTGCGTACCTGCACGGACTCGTGCCAGCGCGACTGCTCGTCTGCGAGCGCGGTCGTGAGCTTGGACGCGCGCTTCAGCCGCGCGACGTCTGCGAGATGTTTCTCTCCAGCTGGCGCTTCTCGGCGACCGTGTCGTCGTACGTCTTCTGCAGCTCCCGGATCTGAGCCTCGACGCCCGCCAGCTTTCTCCTGCTTCTCACGCAGCGTTGACATGGTAGCGTCCAGCTCCGTCTGCGCCGCAGCAAGCCTTGCGACGATCGACCGCCGGTCAGTTAGTACATGCAGATGTGACAGAGAGTGTCGGTCCACTCATACATCACAGGTGCACAGAGTGTCCGATACTCCGCATCCTGCTGCGGCAGACGACGATCAGCGTCTACACGAACGTCGCCAGGTACGCGGGGTCAGGGGTCAGGGGTCGGGCAGGGGTCGGGCAGGTACGCGTGTGCGTTTACAGGGAGGGTGATATGCGGAACTGAGGGGGGGGGGGGGTAATATAATGGTATTTTCAACGGATCATACTTGTTCAACATATGGCGGCACATCGTAGCCAGACGTCAACGCTGCAGAAGAATGTGTGAGATGGACAGTGAGAAGGACAGCCAAAGATGCAGTCGTCAGTCTAGATCTTGCCCTTTCTTTCAGACGGCTGTTTTAGCAGTCATCAGTCTATATCTTGTCTTTCTTTTAGAGGGTTCTTAGAGCAGTCGTCAGTCGATCTTGTTTTTCTTTTAGAGGGTTGTTTGAGAAGGACAGCCAGAGATGCAGTCATCAGTCTATCTTGTCTTTCTTTTAGAGGGTTGTTTGAGCAGTCATCAGTCTATCTTGTCTTTCTTTTAGAGGGTTCTTAAAGCAGTCGTCAGTCTATATCTTGTCTTACTTTCAGACGGTTGTTTGAGCAGTCATCAGTCTATCTTGTCTTTCTTTTAGAGGGTTCTTAGAGCAGTCATCAGTCTATCTTGTCTTTCTTTTAGAGGGTTGTTTGAGAAGGACAAGCTCGTCTTCTCCTTCATGCTGTGTGCTGCCATCATGCAGCAGCGAGGTGACATCAGCGACGCCGAGTGGAACTTCTTCCTGCGCGGATCGTCGGCGCCGCTGGACAAGCAGCGGAATGAGAAACCAGACGTACCATGGCTAACCCAGGTGCAGTAGTACTCGTAATTAATACTCTTAATGATGAATATAGTACTGCGCAGTAAGTGTAACCCAGGTGCAGTAGTACTCGTAATTAGTACTCT